TGGGGGGCCCCCCCCCCCCCCGCTTACTACGCCACTGTATCACATGTATGTGTGTATATAGGAAAACACACGATTATATTTGTGAACAAATTAGCATCTTTCCTGCAACAGTTTAGTGATACACGATTGATGATGTCATCGTTAGGACTATCTAGTGGTACGCCATTGATAGTGTCATCGGGAGAGGGGGGTGTTGACTCCTTTCTTCCTCTGATCGCGGTTTGGTGTTTGATTTAATCATTTAGTTCATGTGCGATCTGATTGAAAATACACATCCGATATCATCTGCTTTTGGTAAAGACATCATCCAAGGTGTACCTCTAGATAGTCCTAATGATGACATTATCAATGGCGTACCACTAGATAGTCCTAATGGTGACATTATCAATGGCGTACCACTAGATAGTCCTAATGATGACATTATCAATGGCGTACCACTAGATAGTCCTAATGATGACACTATCAATGGCGTACCACTAGATAGTCCTAATTTCCCCCAGCGGCTACATAACTGATTAACGGGGTTAACTGTCACAGTTATGTCGTCCTCACAGATAAAAATGCGAGGCGTATTCAACAGCACATCTTGGCCCAAACCTTTACTCTTCTGATTGCAGCCAGACATACAATCCACTAAGCCACGCCCGGATCTGAATAAGATGAGTGAAGGCGTGTCAAAATGTCACAGATCTTTCTTTCACAATGGTTTCTACTCTAGTTCAATTATTATTTTCTAGGTATAAACTGATCTTTTATGAACCTAAAACATTCCAAAACAATTTAATGGTATAATAAATAAAATACAGTAACCTATTCTGTTCTTCTGTAATCATCTATTGTGCTATTCCAAAAACGAGTATTTAAAAGCTAACTGATAATATGAAATAAATAACGAAACTTGTGAAACTTCATTTACACACATGTAAATTATCCTAACTTTTGGCAAGTACTTCCCCTGATTATGTTATTACACATTCACGGTATTCGTAGCGCCATCTGTTAAATATATTAATATTTAATGAAACTGTTCATAATAATTCTCATTAGACGCGTTACTTACAATACTTTTTTTATTCAATGAATTTGCACTTATTTCTGGAGAGATAAACATGAATTGTGGTATTTTCAATTTTTTGCAGCATACGGAATAATCGTATAAATCATATATCTATAGGGTTTATTCATAACTATCTAATTTATAACTGACCTATGCTGCTACTCGTAACGAGATTGACTAGCACATTTATAACACTTGACAGTGCTGAGTGTGTTCAGAAGCATGTCGCAACTTGGAGATTGAGATGTAGCCTGACACACTACGTCACAACCGACCCAACATAAGATGATAATATATTAAATTACTTCCCGCGGATTTTGCAAACTAAAAACTTCCAAAGTGTACAAAAGTAACAAAATAATATGTATAACCTCTTAACGTTGTTGTTTCATACTTTTTAGCCGCGGAATTGCGGCTCATAGAACGGCTCTGAGTTTTTCAAGTACAAACTTTTAGCCCGTAGCTCCGTCATCTCTTGACCGATGCGAGATCTAATTACAGTTTTTGACTCAGGAGATCAAACTCTTTCGACCGATATATTTGACCATGCTCAATATATCATAAATTAATCTACTCTAATCCTGCCTCAAAGAATTTGAATTTGAGGATAGGCTAGTAGAGATCCTGATGAGTAATAAAAATTGAATCGGGTATACTCGAGCCCCACACTTGGTATTGCTGGTGCACAATAATATAGCTTATAAAAAGTCTCAGATTAATTTACTCTAATCCTGCCTAAAAGAATTAAGTGCCGCGGCTATTGAAGATTCCCTCTTCTACATAAAACAGTTCTTTACCAACCAAATAATTTAAACAAAACGCATAACACGGAATGGGAAGGGAAAAAAATAAAATTTGTCTAAATACGGCGTTTCAGAAAGTTCCTAATTATTGCTTTTATATTACACGTGTTATTTGGTTTGAAATGTTACATTAGTTACTCGTTAACATTCACAATCTATTTCATGTTTCTAATGTCGACTTGTAGTTTAGAAATATTTAAACACATGCACGAGCTACTCCTCACTAATTCAACGTGCGAAAAACAAGAAACGCATGTCTGTTAACATTTTATTTTGTTTGATGGTTCTATATTTTGGGCAAATAATTTATTTTCATGCTACGTTCAATTTTAATAGCTACTGTTACTTATTGTTGGAATATTTTTCAAACAAAAGAACGCTTCACATGAAAGATTTCATTTTCATTTACTCAAGTTCAAAAATTCTTTAATCTCGTAAACAGAATGTTTTCTTATAAAAAAATAAATTATTAATAATGGTTAGAACACGATTCAAACGCGCTATTTTATAGACGGAAAATCCACAACTGATCTACAAAAAAGTTATAAGACTTAAAACGTAAGAATATAGGAACCTTATAGAAAAAAATAAAAACGTGTGTATAATTTGCACATTTAAATTTCAGTTCAAAACAGCTTTAGCTACTCTTTACTTAAAGCTTAAGTATTTGATCAAAATGAGCTTGTTTTTTTTTTCTGTTGTATGTCCTTCCTACTCAGTTTTCCCTGGTTCTCTCAATAATTTCGTATAAAACACACATTTCCAACATAAACTACTTTATTTCATCAGGATTTACATCCACAAATCAATGATCAAGAGTAACATGTTCAAATCACCTCAGTAAAAACCTAATGAGAAGTAAATGTTAAGATCCCAGACAGTGGGTGAAAAGCGTAGCTGTTCACAAGAAAACCAATACATACAGAAATGGTTGCTTACTCAGGTTCATGGACTTCTAGTTCCTGTACCTTGGACATTGACTGCAGTGCTTTTTCTCTCAGTTTCCTCTCTAGATCTTCCAAGTTCTCGTCCCCCGATTCAGAGCCCTGCCTCGGTGCCTATCAGAAGGCATAGGGGGATGCTTAAGTTTAATTTGACTATATGTTTTATACTATTACTGAGTTCCCTCAAACTTAAGGGTAGTTATTTTTAACTACAAAGAGCTTTCACTGAAGTTTTTTTTTTAATCTAACATTAATCTTTCAGTGAAATCAAGGCAACTGCTCCAATACTGAGAGATCATAAACCACTGTATATATAAAGACAGACTAACACAAGAGGAAACAAATCATTCCAAATTCAGACTGGCTTACTTTACTAGTCATCTCTTAAGACTGTTTTGCCATGATACAATGGCCAATGCTATGTTTACTGAGAACTCAAACTGCAGGTTAAGCATCTATAAGGATTCTGAGTAAGTCATTATCAAAGCCTGGCTGAAGAAACTGAACAGGTTTTATTTTCACCCATACACATTTAAAAAAATGAAATACATGACTTTATATATGGCCAAACTTTTCAAAAATGTTTTACATTTGTAACATTAAAATTATACAGATAACATTCGCTTTTCACTTCATTTGGCTTTTCTCAATATTTTACGAGAAGTCTGCATATATTAATTACAAAACAATACCAGATCACTGAAATCTTTAATAAGAGATTGATGTAATGAAAATGGAAAACCAGTAGTGTTAAACAAACACACAAACTTGTACATCACCAAAACAGACACTAATGTGATTGCTGCCATAAGTCATATTAAAAATAACAGCTTATTTTGAGTGATTAAATTTATAAACCTTTTTTATTATTATTAATTCTCAGTTAAAATGTAGTTTAATATTATTACCAGTGGTGCATAATAAAAAAAAAGCATTTTCTATAGGAAATTCAATTAAGGGCAGTGACTCCTAATATAGCAAGTCAAGAATTTTAAAACACAGAAATTTAAGTTGTGTTCTTGTCCTATTGGAACATTATCTTCTGATAGTATTAAAAAATTTATCTCTGGGTAGCAGAGATGTTCATTTTCAAGTTTTATAAAACTTGTTGGCATTATACAGAGGTTGTCTGTCATCTAAAATGCTGAAATACAATTAACTGTGCAGTAAACAAATGAACGTTCTCGATTTCACAAGATACCTCACATTTTCAAGTCACGTTAGATGTAAGGATATCGCAAATCACCCATTTACCTCTTCTTTCTTGCTTTTCTTGTGTTTCTTATGTTTTTTGTGTTTTTTGTGCTTCTTGTGCTTTTTCTTCTTCTTTTTCACACGCTCTTCTTCAGACTCCTGTTAATAAAAAAACATCTGTTAGCTCTGCAAACAAATTAAGGATTAATACTAATAATTCATATTTTTTCATTAAAATGCCAAAATTATGTACATTGTGTTTCACCACTTATGTCTAATTTTTGTTAAGTGAACTACATTTTGTCGTACCTATACAGCTATCAGTAATAGCATTTTAAAAAAAAATTAACATTTAAAATTATTACATAACAGATGACACGTGAAAGTAAAACAGTGCATGCTTTAAATAATACAGCACACCACCAATTTTCTGGCACCCTCTTTAATTTGGCCAAAATTACAAGAACGCACTTGAAATTCCTGCGACCGCCAGACTAGTTCACTGGGCAGCCACAGATGGCATTTTGGGACAGGCTACTTACATTTTAAGTACGTCACTCTCGTGAAAATTTTCTTATAGATATGAAACTTGTGGATGAAATTGCTTGTGGTATTTCATGAATGTTGCCAAGAATATGCAGTTTAACACATTAGTAGTAATCCTGACAGCCCTCAACTTCCAGATCTTTGTGATTAGCTCTACAATTCCAGTAAAATTTGCCACTTTGGAAGTGGTACTACTGCAACATTCTTTGTAAGTACAGTAGTTAATAACCCTTTTTCATTTATACCTGTATTAATGTATTTCATTAATCATTTAATTTACATTTAATATTAGTTTTATTTAAGCAGTCCATGGTGCTTTAGAGACACAGGAGGGGTACAATAAGTGGGTCAGAGGTGTATTGTCGAATTATTATGATGCGACCTCTGTTGGTCGGGCAAAACGGATAATCCGGCAAGACTCTGGAACCAAGGGTGCTGGAAAATCGATGGTGTACCTGTATCACACTCAGTGTGTGTTCCTACATCACATTATTAAAAATAAAACATGGTTCACTGTATACATCTTCTTACTCTCAAAACTTGATAAAAATAGTTTTACAAACTTATACAAGTGAAAAATGTATCAGCTGAAATTAATTATTTCTATTATAACTATACCACAAAATTTAACAGTTTGTAAACAAACATATGGAGTACATATGTACACTGATAAAATAACATTTATGAATAAAGGTTAAACCTCAAAGTGTATCTACTGTATGGGTTATACTTCACAGATACCTCTCTCACTAGGATATATTCCATCATTTCAAATCTGTTCTTTGTATCCAAAATTTATTTATCTGTTCTATTTATAAAATGTTTTTTGTTTTTTTTGGGAGGGGGAGGGGGGGGGGTCCTAGCAGATTGAAATGAATATTCATACAAAAATTTTCTGTTTGTCACAAAACTCTACAGTACTGGTTAAGATGTACTGGTACAAACACGTTTATCTCTGCCACCTAAATAAAGAATCAAGCCATATATCATCTTATTTCATATTACTATCTCAAACTGACCTTTTCAGAACTTTCAACAGCTGGCTGTCTTTCCTTCATGATGGGTTTAACCTCACCTTCCTCTTCCTCCTCATCAGGCTCAGCATTCCGCTTCCTACGGGGTGAAGCTGAGTTTGAGACAGATCGCTGTCGCTTCTATAAATAAAAAACAAATGAAGACAAATTAATTGGTCCATTAAGAATATGTCAGTAAAGCTTGCAAGAACTGTTTTTCAACCTGGATCAGAGCAACAAGAGTATGTTCGTGTTTTCTAACCACACGATACAATTCCTCTAAATAAAACTTCTCCAATAATACTGGAAAACGACTGCTAATTACTGACAAATGATTAGAAAGCTGACTGATAAAACAATTTAGAAATTATTTTACTTGTGGTTATATCAAAGTTTCAAGAACATAAAACTCGTAGGTCAACTCAATAACAATCAATCCTACCAGATTCTGTCCAGGGCTATCAACCAAAACAATGGCTTTCTAGTAGAAACAAATGATTTTTGCACATTTTAACCCTCTGTTTATGGACTATCATTTTGACTGACCTTATAACCATAAAACTACATGTATTATAACTCTGAACTTACTATTAAAGTGAAACTTCACAAAATTTGACAAGCTTTTAGTAAACATAACAAGTTTGTTTTACACAAAAAAATCAAATATTTTTACTAAAGATTTATCTGTGAATTTATGAAACCTTTACTGAGTCAGCACAAGTGTAAAGTGATTTTCATGTTAAGAATTAGAATACTTTTTTCACCTTACATTTTTCAAATTCAATTTTCATAGCCTCAAGATCCTCCTAAATGAATATCAAGTTCTTTCAGTAAAACTTTATGTTCTATTTGTTACTTTCTGTACCCTAACTATAGGGTAGAATGAAAAGTAATAAATACAAAATGAATCTAAATTAGCCTTTTTACTTTCTAATATGATTGCACATTGTATCAGACTATTCACCATTTACAATTACAGACGAGATCATTTACTTTTACTATTTTATAGCTGTTTCTGAGTCAGACCTTCTGAGGATATGGTGAAATCTATTCACTACAGTGGGATAACTTTGCATAAACAAAGGATCAAGTTACAAGAATGTATACATCAATTTACATAACTGCAACATACGATACGCACGAGGAATTTGTTTATTCAATTTTCTTTCATTTATATTTTCTTATCTACCCTAACAAGTGTCTAATTTTTACATTTTAGTTAATTTTATAACAATAAATGAAAAACAAATTTTGTAGTTACTTCAGGAATATTCTCAAGTCTTTATACCCATAAGAACTAAGTTCTCAATGCACATTAACCCTGCTTTTCAGTGAGGACAGTGTTGTCAATAAACTTTTCAACACAGCAACTTAGAATTCAAAATATTGTCATGCACAATAAACAATGTCCTAAGGCTACTATAATTTAACCGGCTTTCTAACTAAGCTATAAATGGGTTAAAATAATTCTGATAGCTGGTTGAGCCAAGCTCCAATGATGGCAAAAATGAAACTGAGGCTGAATTTTTTGAAACCTTTCATCTCAAAGATTCTAGCCTTGTAGAAATTCAGTAAATTATAAACTTTTTCTACTGGTTATGAATAATCCAAAAGCAAATGTAAAAGGCAATTACTGACATTTTTTGAAAGACATGATTTGATAGAAAGGACATGGCATGTACATTTCATTTTATTGACTATATCTCAGTGAAGCAAGAAGCTTTGTGAATGGCATAATACATCTTCAACTCTTCCAATACTTTGATAGGTGCAGCCAACCTTGAGTACCAAACTGCATCACTGAATTAAAAAAAATCATAGAAAATATACAACTTGTAGTTGTTTTTCCACACTTCAGAATTGAAATGTATTCAAAAACGTTTTAGTTATTTGATTTAATACATAAATTTTTTTTAAATCACAAATTCTGATTGTGGGTTTGTTTCAGCATGCTCTCAACAAAATCATTAGTGTTTGAAAATTTCAGGGATTTTCTTCTGTATATAATATGGCATTTGTAGTCCCCTAGGAGGAAAGATGAACATAGTGCTAAGTTTGTTCTTGTAACTTAAACATAAGTGTAGTTCTATCAATTTACAGCCAATCACTGCTTCTAAAATTTGTTTTTTATGGTGTGATGTAAATGTCTATATCTCAGCTTTAAGAAGTCATAGGCTCCATTCATTTGAACTGTAAAATCAATAACACTTCACGTTCAATGGGAAATTTTATGAGTCAGCACCAAGAAATAAGTTAGGTTTGTAATATGTTAGTGCTTGTAAACAATTTCAACTACAATTAAAGTCCTGTTTTTTTGTTTGTTTTTTTCTAAAATTTGTGAAAGTTATCATTTTATGCTTTATTTGAATTATGATGTTTACTTACAGTAGAGGAAAAAACTAGTTTTTTTTGTAGAACAATATGAGGCAGGCTTAGTTAACCCTTTACAAACCAGTTGCAGATATAGTGACATCTCTGACCTTCCATAAATAAACACTAATCCAACTATAATTTGAAAGAAGTTTGTGTATTTGTCCTCTAACTCCTCCTGGGCTTTTGCATTTGGACCTATCATATGTGGTTTAGCAACCAAGAATGATTCAGGATGTGTCAAAAAAAAAATGCTTTTCTTTTAAAATGCATAGAATTCATAGCTCCAGTGCTGGCTAAATATAAATCAGTGGGGGTGGCCACAAGGGATACTGATGGAATTTCTCCAGTTTCTGATTTCATTCCATGGAATTTACATAGTTATGTATTTTAAATCATTACTGGCATACTTAGGACAAAAATAGAAACTAGTTATATTCATAACTGGTAAACTAATTCTACAATTGCATTTCATTTTCAAATCCCATCAATCATTTGAAGGATTTCTTTTTCACACATTGTTTACACATACTTTCAAGACACACACAGTTATATTAATTGAGATGTTTTTAAGTCTGGTCACTTGTTGCTTTTCAATAAAAAAACTGAACTTGAAAATAAAATGTTATTTAAATAATGAAGTATAGTGTACATTGATAATTTTATTCTTATGTACTTTTAATCCTTATACTGCTACTGGCATATTTCAGAAAAAAAAACAACACCTTTTTATATTCATAATTGTTAAAAATTTAATTTCCAAATTTTATCAATCATTTGAGGGATTTAATGTTCAATGATATAAATGCCTCATAACAATGCTTACCAACAGTGTGTGTGTGCTTTATTATAAGGCATCTAAATATAGAAATTGTTTCTTTTTTGTATTTTACACATCAATCAAGGTGTAATCATACCAAAGAATGTATGCAAGAGAAGCTTACCAAGAACAGGAAAAGAAAAGTGAAATAAAAAAAGTTGTGAATGCATTCATAGTCATAAACCCTAGTAAAGATGTAGCCATAGTTAAAAAACAACAACAATGATCCTTCTCTATAAAATCAGTAAATGAATTATACAAATGATTGGTTAACTTTCATAAACCTCCCACCTGCATCGTATAGGAACATCTTCTAGTAACTCACAAGTTACCATATCCAAATCACCTACACTTCAAACATATGTAAAATAACTACAGAACCTTTTAAAGTATAAATTTGATCCTTTCATCAATTTATGATTTATAATACATTAAAAACCACTAAATTAAACAGCTATTTGCTATGACATTATGCATGACCTGAAAGCCAGTTTTTGCACACATACTATAGTAGATCTAATGACATCATGTGCTAGGGCACTTAGTTGAAAGAAATGATGAAACAGAAATAACAAAAACCTCCTAAATCATTCAAATAATATAAATAAATAATACTTACCTCACTCTTTTAAAAATAAACAACAACTTAGCTTTGCCCTCTTTTTAAAATATTTACCTTTGTCTGAGAGCAAAATATGATACTAGCTTTCACAATGACCTCAATTTATAAAACTTGTGATCTCTTGGAAACAGAAAATTAACTGGCTGGACAATTATTCCATTAAAATAAACAAACACAGAGAGAAACTCGTTAAGTTAATATATTACCATTATGTGGCATACAAATACAAGACCATTACTAACTTAAGACAAAATCCCTGCTTAGTCTTAAGGTCCCTCAAAATGTAACAAGAAATTTTAAAACTTTACAACCTAGTATAATTACATAAGAAAGGAAGGTAACTTTTAGGAAAATATATTACAAAAGAAAAAGAAAAATTTTAAGCTTGAGACATTAACATTTACAATTTTGTCAGCTTCAGAAACTTAAAAAAATTAAAGTAAAACAGGCAGGTAGTTGAATTTTAGTGCTCTTAACATTACCAGCTTCAAAAATTCACTGTTTTCAAACTGTTTGAGCTAAGAATAAGCTTCAAATGAATAAAAAGTTACTAAGTTTGTGGCTTACTTATATTCATTAATAATACATTTCACACAGGCAGAAAATTCAATGATTACTATCATTTATCTCAATAATAATTCTAGAATGGGAGCAAAAATAAAAAATTTGGATTAACAATTTCAATTTTTTTTAATTGCTTCATCCAAACCAAATTAATAAAATCTGAACATTTCAGTCATAATTTTATTTTGGAGGTAATTTGAGGTGATAGATCACAATTTTTTAAAACTTAATGTAATCATTTTTCCACTGTAAAATGATTGATTCATTTTGTATTCAGTTGGATCAATTTTCATTTGGTCAACAGACTATATTGGCTAAGTAACTGCTTAAACAAACAAAGAAAATCTCCAAATAAAAATGTAGAAACAAATATAAAATGGGTTTAAAATCTAACCTATATTTACCTTCTGATTTTTAACAATTTAAAAACAAGTCAGCTTGCTTATAATTTTGGCATGGTAAATGAAACATTTTACTGTACAACAGTAAAACTGCAGGCCTTGTTTTTGTAAAAGGATACATAACAATTAGTAGTTCACAATCTATTACAAAAAACATTTAAATTGTTTATTAAAAAATGCATCACAATGAAATCTTTTAAAAATTTCAAAGCTGTGAATCCATGTAAATTAATAAATCACATTAATAAAAATATATTTTACTTGCAGAAGCTACATAATTATTTGTAGAAAATAATCCAAAAGTTTCAAAATATTCCATCCAATATTTTTTTTTGTTTGCAATGAAATTTAGCAAACCAAATAATAGGTACATTGAATTAACCCATCCATGCCTCAAGGAGTTAAATCACTAGGTTAATATGATATAGGACAAATATAGAGAAAATTGTTAACCAGATAATCGATAATGGGAGTTCACAACCCATCTGTTTTTTACAACATATTTTTCTAAATTATATATACACAACTTGAAAGACCCAGGGTTCCTAATATTATGCACATAGTAGAAATAAAAACAGTACTACAATTAATCTAGCTAATTACTGGGGAGAAGATTTCCTGTTTGTTTGTTTTACACATAAAATGTGATTTCACCCAATTCTTTGGGTCAGTACTTTTCAAAGTATGTTGTAACAAGCAAAGACAAAATTATTCAATATGATGGAATAAGTGAATCCTAATAGTAGTGAATTATATAAAATCAAGTTGGTAATTTGAGGGTTAACATGTAACAGCAAATACTGAAAAAATTGGAATTTACCTCCTTTGTTCCAAAACATAATAGAAGATCCATTTCAGCCAATTATGTTATTAAAATAAATGCTCAGTTGTATAACTGAACCGCTGTAACACTCATTACCTAACATGCATACTAATTTTGCAAATTAACTTGACACATATATCATTAGTTAATTGATGTACATTAAAAATTTTGTTATTATTATTTGGAAACTTATGTAAAATTTTAAAGTAAAAAAAATATCCTAATGAAATTTATTGCAATGTTTTTGAAGTTTATATTTCATTTAGTGAAACACAAGATGAAATTTGTATAAGAAAGTAATCCATATGTTCAAAAAGAAAAATCTTCACATTTATCATTCTTAAACAAATTGAGCTTTCAAATATTTTCTGAATACAAAAAATCAGTTTCAATATCACATGCTGTAGTGTTTTTATCTGTAATACAGATAGATATTTGGAATTAATATTTTCACTCAAACTACTTACATCATCAACCCAAGGTTAGAAATTTAGCAAACTTCTTATATATTATAGGTACAAGTTATCTACATTAAAGTCAAACCATTTATAGACAGTGTTTGAAGTGGGTGGAAAAGAAGAAGCAGGATGGATTGTGAAATGTTTGAAGCCTATTTCTTGTGTATTCTTTATTATCATAAAAGTAGCTAAAACGTAAAAATTAGAAATTTACGAGATTAGGTAACATTAGGTTAGTGAAGATAATGAAAAAATAAAATTTCTTCAAGAGGTATAATCACGGATAGCTTGTACATTAGATAATTCAATACAATAACGTTAGTTGCACATTCACTGAATGATTTATAACCTATGTGGCAAGATAATTAGTTAGACAAAGTTCAAGGGCAATAAAATTAAGAATAAACAGACGTACACTGTTACGAACTACAATATAGAATAGTTACTTTGTGGTTACAAACTCAGTCACACTGACTGGGCCTGTAGCAAGAGGGTTCATTCATTCCATCCGTATACTACTTTTTCTTATTCCTGCCTCGCTCTTACACGACAGTTTACAAAAACAAACTTTTTTTCTATCCAGTCTCTTGTCACTGTAAATATTTATTACATCATCTATAGAACCTTTCCCTTCTGAGAAGCTTACAGTCTATTAAAACAAAGCAGGATGGTTTCAGGACCTCCTGAAAAGAAGTGGGATGGTATCCCACTTCACTTCAAGCACTATTTACAGATGTATCTTACAAATACTAGTTACCTATAATACAAAGACCTTATATAGATATATCGTACAGATGGGTTATTTATATTACGCACATCTTTTATAGATATGTTATACAGACAGGTTGCCTACACTGCACAAATACATAGTTTCAGTAAGAATACCAAAAACCGTATTCTTAAACTTTACGTTAAAACATCGTAACATATACAAACTTTAAAAAATACAAATGTTTATTACTGAAACACTTCAAATTTAAAAAGTTTTGGTTCTTGCAAATAATATTATTTCAATTGACATTTTAAATTTCTTGCTTGGTTCTTTCATTCACTAATATATGTACTAACTTTTCTACTATAAAGCAGCGTAATGTCCTTTGAAGCACTTTACTAATCTTCCACACAGAAAAAAGTTAGATGCACACATTAACAGCTGCAGTAAAAGTAAACAGAAAGAAGTCTAATCTGATGTAGAACTGCTTGATAAAATCAATGTATATACAAATGCATTCCACAGCAACATTTAAAAATTAATTACTAATTATATTAGTCTGCTCTCTAAACTGGCATGCTAGAAAATAATACCTTAGGTCTTTCTGGTGATGGTGATACAGATGGTGAAGCTTTCTTTCTTTTCTTGACAGGAGGGGGTGATGGAGAGGCTGATGACGAAGATGGAGATCTCACTTTTTGTAATTGCTTTTTTACTGGTTTAGGCGACCCTGATGAATCCCTGTTATTTTATTATATCAAAATTAATTTTCAAAGGAATTAGCCTTAAAATCCTTATTTGAAATAAAGTATTTTGAGAAACTACACTGACATTACAACAAAACTATAATTACACTTCTGTCTGTGAAAATATGTTGTTCAAAGTTTTTTTTTATATATTCTCATAAACTTTCCTCTTTTTTTTTCACTTGATTAACAACATAAGGAATCAGTGATAAGAACAAGCATAAAAAGTTTTTGAACCAAGTAAACAAAAACAATATTTTTCAACATAATTATATGTTGCTACACTATTAACAAACCATATTTTTTACAGTCAGTCAGTAAACAAAAACAAAACACTAACACAAAAGGCTCTTCAGATTCAAATACACTGTTAACAGATTTATTTAAACTAAAAGGATGAACCACACACAAAAAACCTACCTATTTTTTTGAAGAACAGGAGAAGGAGATTGTTCTTTTCTGTTATTTGTTTGCCAGTTCTGAGGAGATGGTGATCTTCTACGATTTCTAGGACTAGATCCAGCTCTTCTAAATTGATTAACTTCTGGTGAAGAGGAATCCTGGCGCCGCCGTTTATCTTCCTCAGAGGATGAGAAATGTCTTTTCGGATGAACTGGAGACACTGAGCGTTGTCTTCGTCTTTCTCCTTAAATAACACAATTAATTTCATGTTGTGTCTAAACAATATTACATGTTCAATCAATGATAAATATCTAACAAATTTAAGAAAGGATCTATGATTCAAGATTTGCTATTGTTTTTACAACTGTTTCTAATGTGAATTTTCCAAACAATTGATGTTCTTGATAGCCACTACAATTTTAACTTTGTAATATTCAGATAACCAAGTACATGAGTAGGACAGAAAACTTTGGCAATACTGAAATTTCCATATTTCCACAAATGAGCATTTCCCCCAGACTTTGCCAACATATAAACACAATCATCACCAATCCTAGGCTTGTGGAATAAATCACCGTGCAAGCTTGCTAGTGTATTATGGAATTCTCCAACCCATGCATGTATACACCTTAACCTTTCTGCAAATGATGTTGTACATAAGCAGCTAAATATAATGCTTCTTTGTGTAATTTCATATCCTAAAGAAGAGCTAATAACAATAACCATCCATTATCAAAAGCATTGCAGGAGCTTTTCAATAATACAAATAACATTAAAAAAAGTTCAGCAACTCGAGATTTAATATCACTATGAGAGTTTACCAGAGATTAATATCCTACTTCCAATACCAATATTTAAGTGTCTGGTAAATAATTTTATACTTTCAAAGCTACTCGAGATCTGAGGCATGCTTCTCAGTAAAACAATAAATAAATCATGTCAAAAGGCCTAAATGAGGTTATTGAACTTTATTTCACGCTGAACTTTCTGTTACTGATATTTCACTGTATTTTTATTGATACTTAATACCCTACCATAAAGTAAGAGTTCAAAAGAATTGAAGAAACAACACTGCTGTTGAATATTTTGTTTAATATGTTTAACCAACTGCTACAATTGAAACACAGCCTTAGTTTTGTAAAAACTAGTAATGAAAACATCAAAAAGATTTGTTTCCCTTTAAAAATTTGTGAACTTGTTTTTCTCATTTTCTAAGCAAAACAAGTCATATAAATAAATGTCAATATATGTTTGTGTGTGTGTTCCTTATACCTTTCCACATTTCTTGATCAATCAGCACCAAACTTGACACATTATTGAGCTTATAAGCCTAAGTGAGTCAGACTCAAACAACATATGACTGATTACATTACAGAATATAATAGTCTTATTCAGTAACACCTAGAATATTAAAAAATAAAGAAACAAATCAGAAGTTCATTTCATCACAGGGGAGAGGAATACTATTAAGTTTAGCCTTTCTTGTCAACAAGTAATGTAAAATGCTCCCAAATGAAAATAAAACAAATATCCTTGTTAAGTCAAGGATGTCACTGCGAAAGTGTTTATACATTGCTAAAAGATGACATTGACCTTCATCAATCGAGGCATAGCTCTGGAAAGTACAATGTAAATAAACCACCTTAATGTACATAATTTTGACTTCCAATGAATAAATATGCATATCCATGGTATTCAAAATATGTATAGAAAATAAGAGAACAATGCCTTAAAAAATTGACAAAGCCTTTGTGTGTTTATTTCCATAATACAATATAGATCAACTTTTTTAAAATAAAAAATGAGATGTTTAGTAAGGTGATTTGCCATAAATGAGGTGTTTTAACTATCACCCATCTGCACTTTAACATATTGGATTATGACTTTCAAGAGCCCAGGATTATTAACATACTGCAGTTAAAATTTATTTAAAATGTCATTTATATGCATTCAAGTAAAATCTGATAGTATAACATGCCTTCAACCTAGTAAAACAAAGCACAAAAATCGTTATGGGTCATGAACATCCTGAAATCCTTCTTACATTTAAGCACAAGTCCCTGATTCACCTATTACACAAAATTATACAAGGTATTTCATACACGTTTTAAATTATTCTTTTTACTGTTCATACAGATTTTTTTTAATAAAAAGTGTTTCTACAAGATTTCTTGAGACCTGAAAGTTTTGTCTGTTTCTCATTATATGACTAGATGTACCAGTTACCATAATATCACAGAAAATGCCCAAAACTAGAGAAGTTAGCAAAGAAAATATAAAACACCAAAGATTAAAAGAAAAATAAGTCTTATTATGGTTCTTGACAATAGCTAACATTTTACTCAAAAGTTATATCCAATTCAAACATTAATCACTACTATATTTCATAAAACATTACAATATTTGAGTAATTTTATAGGAATATTTTTAAAAAATTTAAACAGAATAGTTGTGAAGACTCAGTATTATGAAACCAATGATCATGAAAACGTATCTTACCAGGTGAATTTGGCATTCTTCTTTCTTGGGGAGAGAACTCCCTACGACGACTTCTCTCTCTTTCTGCTTCTCTCTCTAGTGCTCGTTCTCTTAATCTTTCCCTTTCTCTTGCTTCTCTTTCTGCCCGTTCTCTTTCTCTTGCTCTTTCTGCTCTCTCTCTCTCTCTAGCTCGTTCTCTTTCTCTAGCTCTTTCTGCTCGTTCTCTCTCTCTAGCTCTCTCTGCTCGTTCTCTTTCTGCCAATTCTCTTGCTCTCTCTCTTTCAGCTCTTTCTCTTTCTCTCATGCGTTCACGCAGCTTCTCCAAGTCTCTGTGTACAGGGGATATTGGTCTCCTATCAGTAGAACGGGATCTAGGCCTATTTCTTTCTGGTGACGATCGTCGGCGAGAACGATCAGGAGTAGGTGATCGTCTTCGTTGAGAAAACTGTGACTGTGTTCTAATAGGAGGACGTCTGTGCCTTGGAGAAGATTCCCTATCAAAAATAAATTCATTGGCAATGATAGAAATTAAATTAAAGAAGAAAAAAAAAGCCTTGACTCCAGGAATGTACACAATTTTAACTGAAAGGCAAATTTTTACTTAAAACACTACAATTTATCATCATCACAAATCAATTACACAAAATAAAACAACAGCTATGATACTAAAACTACCTTCTCCCTTTTGGTGAAGAACTAGAGCGCCCTCTTCTTCCAGGATCTGGAGAATGAGACTGTGAGCGTGAAGAAGAATTTGAAGAGGAAGATGAAGACCTTTTCCTTCTCTTGGTTTCATCCTTAAACAAGACAGCATCAGTACATTAATAAAAAACAAATCCTAAAAGCTAAGTGTCCAAACAATTGCATATTTTGTTAGCATCACTTTTTTCATAAGGATTTTCATTTTTTAATTTTGCAAGGGGTGAATGACCCAGAACAACAGGTAATTATGGCAGAAATAACTTAGCTACATCCTTGATTAAGGATATATAGTTAAAATTACATATGCACAAACATTTAAAAATAAAGTTTATATAAATTTTGAAAAAATAAAGAGGGCAAAAAACATCTGATGCACCTGCATACTGCAATGGTTATAAGTTATTGTTACTCAAAACATGACAGATACATAAACAAGTTAAATAACTTAAAACTAAGGAATGTGAAAAAAAAAAATTGAAGGACTGAGAATCACATGTTAAATGAACTTCATATCTCTAAACCCCTAGTTTTATTTTAATTATAACACAGATTTTTATATTTAAATAATATTTGTGAAATATTTACCTACTACTGTAATTGTTCACAAAATCAAAGATTTGGGCCACAAATAATCCCACTTGAAATGTACAACTGTTCACATAAGTAACCACACCACAAACTTCACCACTACATATACATCCAAAAGCATTGAAATGATTTAGTCACACAAATATTAGAATTTGTAATCAGAAACAATACAGAAAACTGTACAATATCCCACAAATTTTGAAAACTTGGGCACTAAAATTACTCACATCTTTTTTCTTAACCTTTCCACCAACTGCTTTCCTGATTGGGGATTCATCTTCTGAACTGCTTGACTCCTGGTCACTATGAGTCCGGTAGTGACGTTTATTTTGAACAGAGTCTTTCTTTGGGACTATTTCTATAGGAGGCGACTCTTTTTCTTTCACTGGAGGAACCTAATTTCATATAGAAGTGCAATTCAACTATTAAATCTTTTTACATGCAATATTATGGCTCATTAATTTTTTTTATATGCAAGATTATGGCTAATTAATTTTTTTTACATGCAAGATTATGGCTAATTAATTTTTTTTACATGCAAGATTATGGCTCATTCTATAACAAGCATCATGACAAACAAAGATTTGTTCTGTTCTAAAAATTAGTGTTTACTGTTTTCAAAGCTAAACAGAGTTATTTATTTGAAATAAACTAAGTGAGCTTATTCAATGACGAGGAACCCACTTTGAGACTAATAATGGCTGGAGAGGGCT